CTTCCTCTAGCTAGGAAATTTTCTCATCAAACGCTGTTGCAAACACAATGACATCATCCAGGTACACACTGGCTATCCTCCATTGTAGGCTATCCAGTACTCTTTCCATCAGCCTCTCAAATATTGCTGGAGCATTGCTAAGCCCGAATGGCATCACTAAGTATTGCCAGAGACCTTGGCCATAACTAAATGCTGTCTTAGGTCTATCTGCTTTAACCATGTTCACTTGATGGAAACCTGACTTTAAGTCCAGAGTTGAAAACCACCTGGCTCCACTTAGGGCATCAAGAGTATCATCAATTCTTGGCAGTGGGTATGAGTCTTTTTCAGTTATACTGTTAAGAGCCCTGAAGTCCACACAGCAATGTTGGGTCCCATCCTTCTTCTGGACTAACACGACGGGAGCTGACCAGGGACTATCTTATTTCTCGACTATCCCTTCCTTAATTAGACCATCCATGACTTTCTCTATCTCTTGTCGCTTTGCTGGAGCTATACTCCTCGGAGGGATCTTTATTGGATGGTGATTGCCTGTGTTTATTCTGTGCTTTAGAAGGTTTGTGCAGCCGAGGTCATGATCTCCTTTCGAAAAGACGTCTGCATAATTCCCTAAAAGTTCCCTCACCTGAAGAGCCTGTGATGATGACAAATGGACTATGCTTGTCTTATAGAGGTCAGTTAAATGTTCTGGGAGTGTATATCTTGTCTTTATAGTTGTATTTCTTGCTTTAACACTGACTGGTTCTACCTCCTGGCACACACCAAACAATGCCCCTTCCTTAAGTGTCTGCTCACATTTAGAGAAATTGGCCACTCTTATTGGTACTACTTGACGACCTGCTACAAGTGATCTTCCAATCTTCAAATCCACTGGCCTGGATGGGTCTTCCACTGCTTCCACAAGCATTGGGCTTCCTTGGGGATGTTCTTTTATCCTACCTCAAATTATCTTCTCTGACATAGGGGTATTGTAGTTGACTTAAGTGCTGTGACATGCAAATCAAGAGATGTATCAATACTTTGGCCTTTGTTGTTCCCTAACGTCATTTTATCGAAGTTAACTACACACTTCCTCGGTAGTAAATAGTCCAATACTAATATGCAATGGTCTTCAATGTCAGCCAAATATACTTTATGTCTGTTTATCATGCCCATGAGCTCGATAGTTACACACACTGGTCCCCACAACCTTGCATAATGTTCTGTCACACCACAGAGCTTCTGTACAGCTTCTGGTACTCCTTTGTGATCCAGCACCTTCATACTCACAAGGGTTTGCTGAGATGGAGAATCTATGACAAAGTTGCACCTTTGGCCACCCAGCTTTCCTGTCACATAGACACTATGTGTGCTTGGAATTTTACACTTAGTTGTTGGGACTTTCATAATGGGGGTTGGTAGGCATCCCTCAATACAAAACAATTACTGGTTTCCCGGGGGCTGACTTATTGGAAGTATTCTTCTTACACTGGTTCCTCATATGTCCTTGCTCTCCAAAGTTGTAACAAACTTTCTGGGTAGCAGCCTTTCCTGCTGTGGCATCTTCCCTTTGTTGAAGTTGCCAGCATTGAGCTCTCTTGTGCCCAGGTTTATTACAGTTCCAGCAAAGTCCATCAAACTTCTCTGAAAGCTGCCCTTGAATCCTTATGACTGTACCAACATTGGTACCTCTGTGCTGGACTTAACGTAAGATTCAAATTCAAGAGCTCTGGCCATTGCATCCTGCATGGCAGAGAGGTGTGCTTTACTTGTATCTTCAGTTGTGGACTGTCCAAGGCATCTACAAAGTGATCTCTCAGCAACAACTTGAGGACAACGGGTGATGCAGTTGGGTAGGCCTTGTGTGCCATACTTTCCAAATCCTGTGCTAGCTCTTGCAGGCTCTCCCCTTTAGCACGGACTCTCGTCCTAAACCTAGCTCTGTAGACTTCAGACCGATTTTGAGTTTCATACCTGAGTTCTAGAGCCACTACCAGTGCTCCATAGTTGTGCCTGTCGTCTGGTGACAACTTTCCAAGTATTTCCAGTGGTTGTCCCTTCAAGCTCGTTGCCAGACATACTGCTTTCTGCTCCTCTGTCTGTCCATTCATCTCTGCCAGTAGCTCAAATTGTACTCTATATGCTTCCCATGGTGCCTTCCCATCGAATTCCTGTGGCTTCCTTCATACTGGATCACCCCTATTGCTGACATTCATATCTTGGATGTGACTTCTAACAGGACTGAAGATGTCTGCATTGGGGTTTAGCTGCGGGGTTTCGTAGGGGCTTGTTATCGTCTGAGGCTGATTAAGTCGACGGTTAATTCATCCTCCTTGTGTAAAAGCAAATAAATCACCATTTAATATATTTAATTCGCTTTGAAATTTACTAATGTTTTCCATTTGTGTACTCTGGC